TATGTTTGAGATTTCTGGTAGATCCCAGGACAGAGTAGTCAGTGGCATCAGTTTCACCAATATGGCTGAAACAAGATTAAGATCTCTTATCAAGTGAGCACAAGTAATCCAGCACAGACCTCCCTGTGTCCCCCTCTGCAGGATACCTCTGCAGCTGCCAATCCTCCTCCATTCTGGTAATTATCCCTCTCCATCTGAAAAGGAGACAAAGCAGGTCTGGGTTTCATTACTACTCAGGAATCTGCGAAGGTTGAAGATGTATCAGAGATGTGCCTGCAGACAAGACTCCTGGATTCAGCTTAAAATATTCTGATGGTTGGAAAACAGTGAAAAATATTAATGCATCAGAGCCAGAGATTCACAATTTAATTTTTACTGTTGTTGGCTGTATTCATTTTCCCCTGTAACTCAGGGCAGACTTCTTGTGTCTCTGAAATAGCAATGTCATCCAAGGTGATAATTAATTTATACAATGTCAGTGAATCCAGATTAAGCAGAAAATGTTTGTTCCCTATGCAACTGATATGTGATAAAGGTGTAAAATGTGGGAAAATGTTAGGTAATTATTAATAATGGAAAGGCTAATCTTCATACTATTCAACTGAAATATCTTTTTTCAGTGAATTTTTTATCTGTTATTTTTAGAGATTCATGAGAGCAGAGTAGTATTTCGACATTATATATAAATGGAGTATAAGTTATTCTAATTAGGATCCTGTTCTTGTGGTTGTGTAGGATGTTGAATTTCACTGTTGGTATATTCACATATGAACATAGAGAAGTTATGTTCCATTCATTGTGCTGTCTTTCCTATTAAATGAAATACCTTTTTGATCTGAAATTACAGTTTTAAAATTTCCATATGTTACATTTTAATACTTCTCTTATGTAGGTATATGCTGCATATTTGGGGTTAAATGACCATCACCTTTCATTTGTGATTACTCAGACACTCTACCATGTTAGGCACAGAAGTGATAAAAAAGAGTAAAAGGATGATAAATATTGAATAGATGCTAGCTCTGTGGGCAGATCCTGCTCTTTGCTTGCTCAGTGAGGTTCCAACACTCTGGTGCTCTCCTGTCAGTACCTTCCTCCTACTTAGGAACATCCCACAGAGCCAGAGACAAGATAGAACATTTCTTGTTTGTGTCTGTGTCAAGGATACCTGAGCCCCATACTTCTCTTAACAGCATCTACAACCTTCAACTACCAAGAACAATGACAGTGATATCCATGAGCCTAGGAGAAAAAGCAGGAATGAAGGGAAGTGACCGGAGACCCTTGGAGCTTGGTCTGAGACATGTTTCAGAGTTCCACGTCATTTCAATGTTGCAATGGTGCTTTGACAATCATTCTGAGCAGTACTCCTACTGTTTCTTTAATTAATGAATTCTTAATTAATAAAAAAGCTTAATGACCAAATAAAGGTCACTGAAGCATATAAATGTTATAGCTCACATATTAATTTTTGTTCTTTGTATTTCACCCTAATAAAAATGGACCTAAAAGCTTATGAAGCTCTAAAAAAACCCCATAGAACTGAAAGAAGTAAATTGAGAAAATAAGGTTCCTCCTAATTACAGCTAGTGTCCAAATCTTAAGTGGACCTTCATTTTCTTTTTTTCTTCTTCCTGAATTAACGTTGGGAAGTCTTTAGAGATGGGTACTGCATGGACCAATTAGTCTAATTGTGAGCTCTGTGCATTGAGCTTCCAAGGTCATATATTAGACCACAATCAGTCTGTGCCTGCAGCCCTTCAGTGGATGGTTCTTGCCAGTGAGTTGCATGCCTGTGTCTCCTGCTGTGGTCCCATATCAGAAAGCTCCCAGCATATTCATGGGAATGCTGGGCACAGAGTCTGAGCCTTCAATGGGCACCAGGTATGGGTGGGTCTTGGGATGTGCACTTTTTTGTCACGAGCTAGCAGAGAAGCAGCATAACCTTGTAAGTGCCATTGGAGCCTTGGGATCCTGGAAAAAAAGATCCAAAGTATTGTTTTTATATCACAAGTACAAATCCCCAGTTTGAGTATCCAGATGGGAAGATCTCAAGATGATAAGTTTCATGTATGATGTTTGTGAATTTTTGTTTTTATTTTTGCTGGGATATCATATACCTTATTTATAATGTGCTTTCCACTCACACTGGTATAAGGAATAATAATAGCGGAGACACAGAGACAAGATGTAGAGGCAGGAAAAGAAGTGGCCCCTTGTCCAAGCGGCCACATTTATTTATATCAGTAGGTTACATTAGGTCATTAGAGCCATAACTACATATTGTTAGAGTATCAGTAATGTTGCTTATTCTGCAGTTACATTTCAATATGCAATGTCAGGAGCTCTGTGCAGCTCTCAAGAAAGTCCCTTGACTAAAGTTACTCTTGAGAGGGCAGACAGGAGAACCACTGCTTGGTGAAATGTTATTGTTATCTAGCAAGCAAGTTCCTTTATTCCCAGGAGCTAACGTGCCTAAGATCAAGGTCGAAACTGATAAAATTCTGAACACAGAGCTTCCTCGTGAACAACATTGCTACAGCAGCCAGGCATCCCACGTCTTTCACATGGAAGTTTCCCAGCAGCCAGACATTCTGTACCTTTGCACAGAAACTTCCTAGCCACCAAGCATGCCACAATCATGCAGTTTATCAGAGACCCCGCTGACCAACACACCGGTTCTATTTACTACAAAAATATGACATGCCACAGCGCAATGGGTCCTTC